GCTTTACAATCTTTCAATTTTGGTGATTCTATTTGTATGTGGTTTATGCTGTTTTGTAATGACTCTAAAAGTTGTGTTATAAATAATGGGCATATGTAATCTTTGTTTAAGCTAGAAAGATGATGTCGTCAAGGAGATCCCCTTGCACCTTACTTGTTTATTGTTGGGGTTGAGACTTTAGCTATAACTTTAAAGCAAAATGTGGATGTACGGGGACTGACCTTTGATGTCAATGAATATAAACTGGGTCGGTATGCCGACGACACTTTTATTCTTCTTGATGGATCTCATCTTTCTCTTAAAGCAGCTATGAATATCTTGCAAAGTTTTTTCTATTGTCTGGACTTAAATGTAACATAACAAAAACAAAAGCCATTTGGATTGGAAACAAGAAATTTTCTAATAAAAGAATATGTCCCAATATAGGCCTAATATGGTCCTCCTCAAACTTTACACTAGTTGGCATAGAGTTTTCACCAGATCTTTAACAAATGTTGGAAATTAGTTATATGAATAAACTAACAAAGGCAAAACAAATATTGGCAAGCTGATGTCAAAAGACATCTGTCAGTTGTTGGTAAGGTAATTGTTGCAAAAACCCTTGTTCTGCCCATATTTATACATCTTTTCTCAGCACTTCCAAATCCAACAGTCAAATTTGAAGTAGAACTAAATCGTTCATTTATTTAAATCTGTATTGGGTGGAAAGGTAGAGAGAATTAAACGCGATATATTAGTAGCCCCAAAGAACGAGGGAGGACTCAATATGATACATATATTCTCATTTATTAGGTATATTAAGATAAGATGGGTAAAATGATTGTTGGAAAGTGAAAATGGAGCTTGGCAGAATTAGTCAATATACTCAGAAATGAAAAGGATATTTGGAACTTGGGGAAAAGGAATTTAGAAGAATTTAGTAGGCTCATTAAAAACAGTTTTTGGAGAGATGTCGTTTTGGCAGTATTTTATTGGAAAGAGGAACCGCAAAGTGCAAATGAGTTATTACCCATGAGCAGTTTTACTTTTATTCCCCCTAGAATGTTCTATCAATACAAATCCTGGACAGAAGCCGGTTTGGAAATTTTGAATGAGCTAGTAGATGATCATGGCAATTTATTACCTTTTGAAATGATAAAAGAAAAGACTAAAAGAGGTGACTTCCTGAAATACTTCTCCTTAATATCCAAAATTCCAAAAGCATGGAAACAAGCCATAAAAACTATTTAGTACATAATAATTTTGTAAGAAAGGAGGATAAAATAATGGATCTTAAAAAAATATAATTCACTCAAGTTTGTTTACAAAGATATTTTAAAAAGGGCTAAAAGGCAACATACTGCTAAGCAAGAATCTTGAATGCAATTATTAAATACAAATATAAGTAGTGAGGAGTGGTCGGAGATTTATAGCAAGGCGAAATTTTGTACCAAGGATACCAAATTAATTTCTTTTAACTTTAGATTAATACGCAGAATAATCGCTACTAATGATTCTTTAAAAAGAATAAACATATTGGACGACAACAAATGTACGTTTTGCAAGAGAGAGAATGAAAGTATTGAACATCTCTTCTATGAATGCAATATTACTTCACAGTTCTTGTACAGTTTTATTGATCATTTCGCACCATCTTGCCCAAATATTATACATTTGTCAAAAAAAAAGAAATACTTTTAGGAAGTGAACAACTGGGCAGTTTGTGTAATTTCTTGCTTATTTTGGGAAAATATTACATTTATATTTGCAGATTCAATATGCAAAATCCTTCCATCTATGCTTATAAGCAGAGAGTTGTAATGTGTAAGAACGTTGAAAAATATGCTGCTAAGGTAAACAAAAAAGAGGACTAATTTCTTAAGAAATGGACCTCAACAGATTGAAGATTGTATCTGATTGGATGGTAAACAGGAACAAAACACTAAAGCTTATGTCACCTACATTTTGCCATATGCATGTGTGCATGAGTGTGTGCATGTTTGTGTTGTTTCGTTTTTCTTTTAATATAGATTATATTAACTATCCCTAGTTTATCTGGAAACAAGAAATTTTGATTGTAAGGTGACCTTGGGATGGTTCCCTGACCCAATGGTCAGCGTATTACGGGGATAATAAAAAAAAGAATAGTTAAAAATGCAAGGAGTCACGGTCTATATAAGTGGAAATTAACTCAGCTTGATAGGCCAGCAAACATGTTATTAGAAATATTTCCATGATTTACCACCATCACCTACATACCATATAGAGATTAGAGCTATTAACTGTATTAACTAATTCAAACACCATAACCAAACATAAAGAAAAAAAATCATTTCACGTTAGTATCGTTTCAATTGTTGGTTGTATGTATATAGTCATGATGAATGAATGAATGAATGAATGAATGAATGAATGAATGAATGAATGAATGAATGAATGAATGAATGAATGAATGAATGAATGAATGAATGAATGAATGAATGAAAGGTATCAAAAATTTTAGGGATGGGGCAGTGTGTTTGAGAAATTCATTATTATATAAATTAAAAAGGTGACGACGCAAACACATTTAAGTGATAATTGAAAGAAATATAAATTATAAATATTAGATACAACATTCTAAAAATTGAAACAATACATTATTTTAATTTATATCGCAGCGGCAACAACAATGAAATCAATATCACTAGACACGACAGTAGGTACGGCGTGGTTGAAGGCGTGGTCAACGAAAGAAATGAAAAGGTCAACAACAAGAAAGGAAACAACATCAATTGTGACAACAAATAAAGGAATAGTATCAACTGAGGGTATAATTTAATTTAACAATTTCTTATTGGCGTCATGCAGCTTGTTGCTTGTACCTTTATGAGAACTTTGCATGAAGTTGTAAAATATCTCTCTAGTTCTGTCATTTTATGTTACATTTTGCTGAGTCAAATGTATAATAGACATATCCTACAGGATTCAAATCTTAAGTGAAGCAATTAAGATAGTTTTGAGATAAACGACCTTTTAGTATACTAGATTCGCCCCTAAATTATAAATTGCTACCTAGAATGCTTAACTTTAATCTTTTTTAAGGAAAATCTCGTGCAAATGCCATACCCTCCTATTTAACAACAGTATAATTCGTTTGTGAAAAGAGTTCATGACAAAACGTTTTTGGAAATTTCGAAAGAACTTTGTTCTTGAGTGATGAGCTTCGTGAAAATTTTCCATTATGATCGTCCTTGCAATGGACTATAAGGGTTAAAGCAATTTACATCAGAACTATATAATTAACTGAAGGCATTTTACCAACAGTATTGGATGTCCTAAATTACAATTTTGCAAAAAAGTGACATTTAATGAATGTGGAACTGGACCTGATATCACTAAGCAGGTCAAACTTTGCCTTAAATTCAGATTTATGATGAAAACCTTTATAATCTTTTATTGCATTAATGAGTTTTCTTTTAAAGCATTGAGAAAAAATATTTAGTTTTCTATTACACGATTTGAAATGAAATATAATTACTGTATCTTGTTATTATCTCTGAAGAAAATTTCGATGATCCTTCGAGGATTCTTTAAATAAACGTATATATTACAATAAAGCACATATAAGCCCCCCCCAGTGCTACACAATTATTATTTTATATATTTTGCTCGGCTAAAAATATGCGGTTTTGTTTTGTTTTTCAAGTTATGTAAACTTCATGGTCTGTAACTGGCAGAGAAATGCAAATTGTCCAAACAATTTTCAAAATCGTCATTTCGAATATGAAAGAATTGAATTAGTGTTGTCCTGACATATTTTGCTATTTTCTATGTTTATATCTTGGGAACCTGTGCATGGTTTAACTATTGCGTCATTATACTAATACGCCAAAGACTGGCTGAACATTTTTATATTCGTAATGAATTGTAGTACAGACTGCTCGACTGTTAGTACGAAACGTGTAAACATTACATAGGTCTCAAAGATATTTTTAATGTTCTGTTAGCTAGATAACGGTAAAGAGTTAAGAACACGTTTGGTTTTCAAAAGAATTGAAGATCTTTTTGATCGGCTTTAATTAGTTACTACATTTGCTAAAAAAAATAGTGCGTATAAACTCCAATCACTCCGAAATAAAGAAATAGGACTACTGTACAGTGCCAACATTCTTGATAGCTAATATTGGTTTTCTATTGGCCCGAATTGTGCACGTGATCAGCGTTTTGCCGACACAGTCATGCAGTGAATTCGTTATGTACTGTACATTTGCAGATCAAAAATATGGGATCAACAAAATTGAGTATGACAAAGCTTTGGTGTCGTCGACGAAGTATATGCCAATGAATACACCAGATACGTGGCAAACAATGACACTGACAGATTCAAATGTCACAACCAATTAAAGATCGTAAACAACAAGTATAATAACAACAACAACACATATATTATTATTTGAGTCAGGGTGTCTCTTGCTTGCAAATTCTGTCCATTAGTGATGATTTTAAATATCTTGTACACGAAGCACAAACAACAACAGGTGAGGAAACAGACCAGACGGTGTATTAGTTGAGTAGGGAAGTACAATACTATTTTGAAACAAAAATATGTACACTCCTGGACGGAAAGATTGGAAAAGTGAATCTGAACAAATGTGGTCATATCAAACAGAAATACCCAAATTACAATAATTCTATTTTGTGTAATTAGATTTGTTTTAGACACATACCCACAATATCAGAATGGAATTGGGTGGTGAAGACATATGTAAAAGCCTTGTGTGTGTGTGTGTGTGTGTGTGTGTGTGTGATTTAGATTTTTAACGTAACTTTATCAATTTTTCAGTCATATCGCTACGATGTCTGTAGTATGGCAGTTTATAGTGATGTCTAGAACCGGGGCATCAATTCGCAGACATATAGCATGATATCCCACCCAGTTACATTATCCTGACACCAGATCGGCTAGTCTCAACACTAACCTCTTAATTCTGAGCGCCAAGCGAGGCAGTTGTCAGTACAATTTTTGAAAGTCTTTGGTATGACTCGGCCTGGGATTGAACCCACGACCTCCCGCATCCAAATCGGACGCTCTAACCACTAGGCCAGTGGAGCGGTTAAAGCCTTTTAGTTTTAAATAATAAGGAATGGTCACCTCACACCCCTGATAGTCTCTCAATAGTTTGAGGTCTCCATGTGTCGGCACAAATAATAACAACGAACAATTAGAATATAAATGTTTCTATTTCTGATACTTACCTAAAAGTTTCTCAGGAATTTGTCTAATCCCTTCTTATGTTCATTTACAGCATCTACATTCATATCAGATATACCAGCCAAACCTACTGAGAGTATTTTCCTAGGTGAAGTCACAGATAAAGGTAAACGCTAAAAAAAGAAATTTTATAGATCTGTTAATTTACTTGATTGAATTTATCAGAAACATTATTTGGCAAACGCACACACTTACATGCATTCACACACACATACACACACACACACTCACACCCCCAATATATACGCGTGTTTGTAAGCTATCGTGTAACTTAAAGAATTAAATTTAATCAAAAAAGTATCATTCATCAGAAACCAGATGCATCTTAAATTAATTTATAAACGTATATGGCAAATAAGCGTCTTAATTTCTAAAGGGACCAATGTGTCGCAGTTCCACAACAGCTCCATAAGGATAAATTTCCATTCGTGATTTAAATGTTTGTACTAGATTTCAATTAATCGTTTACTATCTGTCTATTCTCACTCAGTTGAGGATCTTTTTTTTTGAAGACGTACCAGTTGTACCTTATTAGGAAAATAACGTTTGTTTTGCGAAATATCACATATATAAAATGTTATTCATTCACGAACTTTTAAGATTCGAGTGTGATGTAGTGTCATCAATAACTAGGAAGACTAAAATGTTAAGTGTCAACTTAGAATACCATTCCACCCGTCCGTGGAGGATTTGTATCATAGGAGGTGGGGTGCTTCCAATATTTTAATTAAATTATTTATAGATATCCCACCGAGGCTCGATTTTGTTTGGAAGTTAAATAGTTAAAGATAGATGTACTGTCAGCAATGCCGAATGGTTACATATACAAAAAGGTTGAAATTCATGAAAAACAATTTAATAACAATTCAATAGTCAAATGATTCAAATTTCCAATTACACTCCATCCGCTCGACCCTTTAATAACCTACTATATCACTGGATTAGCTTTATGAGATTGATTTCCACATGTACTTCTATTCTACTCATTTGTGATATTCTTCTCTCTCCAATTGCTTCAAATTCCTTTTCCTCCTCCTCCACTTCCTCCTCCAAACTCATTTTCTTCCCCTTCCACCTTTTCTATAATCCTTCTCATCATCCTCCACTTGTCTATACTCCTTTTTATCCTCCTCCACCTTCTATCCATATTCTCTCCACCGAGTAGACTTCTCTCGACTTCGACTGTTCGGCTAGTCTAAGTTTCGTCTCCACCTCTTGGAGACTCAGTACTCAATGGAACCGGGAGTTCCATCACTAAAAAGCTTCCTGTAAAAAAGAAACACAAGGACGGTACAATATTTCTCATTAGCCCTTTCATCTTACACTGCACACAACATTTCAACAGATAATGGCTATTACATTTTTCGGTCACGTATTCGTCCACATCGAGATATCCTTGCGTTCCTGTATGGTAAAACTAACCTCATAATACAGCACGATATCAATTACGATTTATAGATACTTCAATAAATTTCGTCACATCAATGCACATTCCTAATCACGTTATACTAAACAATATCATAATAATCAAACGCATTCCTTTACCTTACACTTATACAAAGTACACATATATTAAAATATCCATGTTCTGATATACGCATACGTCCAGAGTAACTAATCTTACATACTTCAACCAGCTTCCAAATTCACAATTCAAGCATGCGTAAATTCTAACGTAACGCATTAATAAATGCAATGGTTTACTACAAACTAACCAAATAGCGAATTACAAAATTAATTTCTGATCACAAGCTAACAATCTACATAAGTCTCTAAGTGAAACTCAAGCCCATCTCCCAAATACACACATAAATAAAACACTACAAAGGGAATTATACATGCTAAACGATCTTAGTAATTAAGTATACGTACTACAAATAATTAAAATTATGATGCCATAATATTCGGCAAAATTAGAGCAAATAACTTACTGACATTTTCAAAATTTGTCTTTCCTTAGAATCTACCGCTAAGGCTTACCGTCCAATTACGAGTGGCTCTTACGGAGTAACCCTAGTTGATCAACAATCATCCCAGAAGACTAATGTTTTTCTTAGAGTTCTGAAAGTTATAACTGGGATCTAAATTGTAATCACACCCTCTATCTCAATTCCCATTGGATGTCGCTGTGAACCAATCCAGCTAAACTTAGTGGACAATGTCCCTCTCGCTTTCTGTTAACGTAGGGACGGTTGGGAACACGCCTCGTTTACCCCGCGGGCTTCCCTCTGATCTTAGGAATAATCTTTAAAACCTAAATGTGACTACTACAAGCCTTTGTCAAATGATGCGAGCGGTCGCCTACTCAAGTTTCCTGTCATCTGGCGGGTCACGTTAATATCGCGTAAGAGATTAACACTAGCCCACGGCAATCTTTATACATCAAACACATGTCCATGATAATATCCTAGCTTGTACATGACTTTATAGCTCGGGCTTAATGAACGTGACAGCGTCAGTCCAAAAATATTGACTTAAAAATTGTTGAGGACACTCAAATTAAAGGAATCGTAACACAGCCGTTTCTACTCATTTACATAAGGAAATGGTTAAAGATGCTAACATTTACACATCAATATCCAACATACACATTTCCAACATTTATCTTCCGCCACCAACTGCAGCCAGATCTGTTGCATAATTGAAACAAATATGTTTATCCATCATTTATATAGATATCAGAGATTTCGTTGCGGCCTCTATTGCATCATTTACTGGAGTTTCGTTCAGATAGACATACTGTACAAGAGTGTAACACTCAAATTCATTGAAATCAGCAATTTGTGATTATAAACACATTTTTGACAGCAATCGTACAAATCTTACAATAAAAGGTACCTATAAATGAAGTCAAATATGATGTCATACCTGGTAAGGTCAATCCTATAATTATATAATTTATATCTTATATCGGTTTCAGTACGTCAAAATTCAATACAAAATATGTAAAGAACCCCTTTGAAAGAATACTAGAATACACTCATCCATTCCTACTTATTAAAGTAAATAATGAAGAATTTTCTTTTTTAATACGACACGAGTAATATTAATGCATCTCGTATGGATGGATGGATGGGATCAATGATCGATGGATGGAAGTGTGGATGGATGGACGACCGATCGATTGTGAAAATATGCATGGATGGATAACTTAAATAACTAATTATATGAAATACCTTACCAGGTATGACATCACCTTTGACGTTATTTACACAGCCAATGACAAATACATAATACATTATAATATCATGGCAAACAATAACAACGACAACGTCAAGTGTCACAAGGAATTAAAAAAGTAGTATCATCAACTTGTATAAAACGGAACCTTTTTAAGTTCAAGGAGCTTATTGTTTGCGTATTATTATATGCTCAATTTTTTCTCCGTTAACTTTACATTGTCAGAATCGTTCAATATTCCCCGATATTGAACACCTTCATATTCACTCCTCGCACTTGATGCACATGAGCACGCGGTGCCATATAAAGTCAAAAGGTCGATACGCGGAGTATATAGGCATGAATACTATTATTGTGTATTGAAGGAATCTACGAGTATGAGCTTTATTATTTCAATAATAAAATAATATATTTTATTATTAAATATATTTGTTGAGGATTTTATTATTAAGTCTTTGGTAATGAAACAACTCGTTTTTTGGATGGAATACTGCACTCCCAAGGTGTTGTAGTATAGCCATCCAAAAAACTAGTTCATATTTTCCCATACAAATGCAGTAACCTATAAATATCGTGTGCACGTAACAACAAAAGACTGTAATTCTGATACTGCACTTTCAAGATTGCCTATGGTGATAGCATTTAGGATTACTACACTGAGCAAAGCAGATGGATCAATTTCAGACTTGAAATTTTTTTTCTCGAGAACAGGATTTACTTCATTTATTAATGGGCAATGTTAGTACTTAATGCGAATTCGTTTGTGCCAAGAGACTTATACAGTGGTATTCTTAAGTGGGATAGAAAAGGAATTTATAGAATATTATTCCCAGGTAGAACGGATATGGGGTTTATACAATATTTTTCCGAAGTAGTACGGATATGGGACTTATTCAATATTGGTATTCCTACGTACTACGGAAATGGGACGTATACAATGGCATTACTAAGTAGTACGGAAATGGGACTTATACAATAATATTCCTATGTAATACGGAAATGGCACATATACAATGCTATCCCTAAGTACTACGGAAATGGGACTTATACAATGCTATTCCTAAGTACTACGAAAATGGGACTTATACAATGGTATTCCTAAGTACTACGGAAATGGGACGTATACATTGGTATTCCTAAGTACTACGTAAATAGGACTTATACAATGGTACTCCTAAGTACTACGGAAATGGGACGTATACATTGATATTACTAAGTAGTAAGGAAATGGGACGTATGCAATGATATTCCCAAGTAGTATGGAAATGGGACTTATACAATGGTATTCTTGTGTACCATCAATAAAATTTCACAACGTAACAAATTGTACTTTACAAACTTTGACAGCTGTCCTTTGAAATCTTTGTTTGGGCTTTCATCTTTACAAATTGGTATTATCTTTCATTTGTTTAAGAGAATATGCGGCATCGTGTATAATTGTTATTTTTTATGGAAGGATGGATATAATGATTATTGTACTTTAATAGTATGTTAGCATGCACTCATGTGTTATCACTTTATTATTATTATTATTATTATTATTATTATTATTATTATTATTATTATTATTATTATTATTATTATTACATTGTTTGTACTAATTTATTATTATTATTATTATTTTTATTATTATTATTATTATTATTATTATTATTATTAT